CTCAAAGGGTTAAGAACTTGGAGGAGGAAGCATTTATGATTTAAAATTTTTTATTTTTGCCTTTCAGTAGTTCTGTGTTTGCAAACTGGCATTGGCGTGGCCTATACAGATGCCCAGATATGATGTCCACTCATTCTAGGTTAATTAAAAATTTTGATGGTGCTCAGCCTCTTAGAAGGATCAGTAGATTTAAATATTAACTGGTTTAATTTAATAATGTAGTGGACGATTTAAGTACTAAAATAAGTGTATACTCCCCTTGTTTATTCAAATACAAAATCACATTAATTGAAAACAGATGAGCTAAAAAATTTCATTGTACATTTTCTTATGTAGATAAAGAGAGACCTGTTCAGTCTTTGAAAACATCAAGAGACACTTCACCCTCAAGTTCTTCAACAGTTCCTTCATCAAAGGTTTGTTATATTTATAAAATCAATTTGAAGAGGAATTACAAAGTAAACGATATGGACTGTCTAGTACAGATGCTTTTATTCTTTATTGTCATAATGGGGGTAATTTGCATTTAAAAATTTGAATCGTAAGTAACCACAGCTTGAAAGTAGCTACCAGAGTGAATGAGCAGTTTTATCATAGATTTTGTTTCACAGGTTATGCTAAAATTAGTATTTACTGCTGCCCTTGCTCATCTTGACCATAACCAGGTAGCAGTGAATGTTCAGTTGGGACATATTTGATGGACATCATGATGAAGTGGGATTTATTTCATAGATGCAAGGATGTTTCAACATCCATAAATCAATCCATGTGCTATACCACATGAACAAAATGAAGGATAAATATTATATGACCATATCAGTAGATGCAGAAAAGTCATTTGACAGAGTTCAACATCTATTCATCCACTCATGATAAAAATTCTGAACAAACTGAGTATAGAGGAAACGTACCTTGACATAATAAAGGCCATATGTGACAAGCCCATAGCTAACATTGTTTTCAGTGGTGCAAAGCTAAAAGCATTTTCTAACATCAGGAGCAAGATAGGGTGCCCACCCTCACCATGTTTAGTCAGCAGAGTGCTGGAAGTCCCAGCTAGAGCAGTTATGCAAGAAAAAGAAATCAAAGGCTTCCAATGGGAAAGGAAGAAATAAAACTGTCTCTATTTGCAGCTAGCATAACACTATAGAAAACTCTAAAGAGTCTACACTAAAATTGTTAGAACTAATAAATTCAGTTAAGTTGCAGGATACAAAATGAATATAGGAATAATAAATTGCATTTCTATACACCAAAAGGGACTATAAGAAAATGAAATTAAGATAATCCCATTTATAATAGCATAAAAAAGAATGAAATACTTAGAAATAAATTTAACCAAGCAGATAAATGATCTGTATATTGAAAACTATAAGACATGGTTGAAAGAAATTGAAGAGGTAAAAAATAAATGGAAAGACATTTTGTGCTCATGGATTGGAAGAATTAATATTGTTAAAATGTCCATGCTATCCAAACAATCTACAGATTCAATGCAATTGCCATAAAAATTCCAGTGTCATTTTTCACAGAAATACGACAATCCTAACATTTATATGGAGCTAAAAAAGACCCCAAGTACCCAAAGTGATCTTGAGAAAAAAGAACAAGGCTGGCGGCATCACAGTTACTGACTTTAAACTATATTACAAAATTATAATAAAACAGTATGGTATTAGCATAAAAACTGACATATCGATTAATGGAGCAGAATAGAGACTCAGAAATAAACCCATGCATATATGGTCAATTAATTTATAACAAGGAACCAAGACTATACAATGGGGAGAGAACTGTCTCTTCCATAAAGTCTGTTGGGAAAACTGGGTAGCCACATACAAAAGAACAAATTGTATCCCTATTTTACACTATAAGTGAAAATCCACTGGAAGTGGATTGAAGACTTGAAACCTTAGAAGTCCTAGAAGAAAACTTAGGGGATAAGCTTGACATTGGTCTTAGCAGTGATTTTTAAAATTTGACACCAAAAGCAAGGGGGAAAAAAAAAGGCAAAAAATAAAACTAATGGGACTACATCAAATTAACGTTTCTGTATGTAAAAGAAAAACCATCAACAAAATGAAAAGACAACTTACAGAATGGGAGAAAATATTTTCAAATCAAATATCTGATAAGGGATTAATACCCAAAATATATAAAGGACTTATATAACTCAATAGGAGAAAAACAAAAATTCTATTAAAAAATGTTCAGAGAAACTGAATAGATACTTTTGCAAAGAAGGTATACAAATGACCAACTGGTACATGAAAAGGTTGCCAACATCACTAATCACTAAGGAAATGTAAATCAAAACTACAATGAGAGGTCACCTCAAACCTGTTAGAATGGCTGTCATTAAAAAGATAGGAGGTAAGTGTTGAGGAAGGTGTGTAGATAAGGGAACCTTTGTACGTATACTGTTGGAGGGAATGTAAATTGCATGTAGCCATTATGGAAAACAGTATGGAGGCTCCTTAAAAATTAAAAAATAGAGCAACCATGTGATCCAGCTATCCCATGTCTGGGTATATACCCAAAGGAAATGAAAATAGGATCTTGAAGGGATAACTGCGCTCCCATGTTCATTGTAGCATTATTTACAATAGCTAAGACCTTAGTGTCCCCCAGTGGATAAATGGATAAAGAAGTTGTGGTGTATGCACACAATGGGATATTATTCAGTCATGAGAAAGGGACAGCTTGCCTTTTACAACATGGATGGACCTTGAAGGCATTATGCTAGGTGAAATAGAGAAAGACAGTACTGTATGATTTCACTTATACATGGAATCTAAAATGCAGAATTTACAGAAACATTGATGAGAAAGGTAAGTGGGGGAAAAGACGAGATGTTGGTCACAGTTCTGGGGATCTAATGTACAGCATAGTGATTATAGTTAATAATAATATATCATATACTTGAAAGTTGCTAAGAGGTCTTAAATGTTCTCACCACAAAAAAGAAATAGTAATTATGTGAGGTGACACAGGTGTTCAAGTAACACTATGGTTGTAATTATATTGCAATTTTAAAATGTAGTTATATATCTCCATTTTATAGAAAAGGCTCAGAAGTTAATTTTCTCAAGGACATAACTACTCTTCACTGCATCATTCTTCCAGTTCGTACCTTCACAGCATCCTAAAACATGTTGAAAAGATGATTTTTGGTTCTAATTTTCAAAACTTAAAAATTTTGAGGTGTTGTTTTTTCTATCTGTTCTCTATAGTTAGAGATTCTCTTCACTAACCTCACACTCTTTTACTGTTGTTACAGCTCTTCTTTCCTCACTTCTTTTTATTTTCCTGTCTTTGGTATATTTTGATTTTCAGCAAGGGTAGATATCACAAGAGTAGACACAGTTTATGCTGCTATTAAAGTGACAGCGCTTCTCTGCATAAAGGAAAAGAAAATGGTGTCTTTGTGACAACTTATATATCTTTAGAGCTTTCCTAGAAATCAGGATTTTAGAATGCTGGGTTTTGAATAGGAAAGACTGATTCAGTGGTTCTCAACCTTCCTAATGCCGCGACCCTTTAATACAGTTCCTCATGTTGTGGTGACCCCCCTCCCCCCAACCATAAAATTATTTTCGTTGCTACTTCATAACTGTAATTTTGCTATGTTATGAATCGTAATGTAAATATCTGATATTCAGGATGTATTTTCAGGGGTCGCGACCCACAGGTTGAGAACCGCTGGATTGGATTTTCTTTTTCTGTCTTGCCTTGTTAAGGTGCATTACCTACCTGAAAGACCAGCTTGTTTCTCTTGTCAGGTAGAAGTGAAAGAGGAGCAAATAGTACTTGCCCATCCAAGTCACTGTGGATATTTAAATTATTATACATGAAATACTCATTTACCTTGAACTATGATGCCATGAAAAAACAAGTTACAACATAAAATTTTGTGGCACATGTTAAAATATATTTAGTGGGAAACGATAATAGATTTTAGATATTTTTGTCTGACAGTTTATGTAGATTGTTTGCATTTTTGTCTTAAGGTGGAATCAGAATTTCAGATTTTAGATCTGGAATCATTTTATGTATTTGCAAAGTGCACCTTCCTTTGTCTTTTGCCCAGAGTTACATGGTAGCTCTGGCGAGCTCTGTTACCTAGATTTCCTGATTTGGTTGGAGGACTTTTTCTTTTCAATAGTATGGCTGCTCTCATGTAGGAGGTCAAAGGCCTTTTTTTCAGAATTTGTTTTCTGCTTTTAGAAGTTAGTTTCAAATGAGAGTTTTTTAAATGGACAGATTTAATGACAGATGAGTAGAGGATTGAGTTATAGAAGATTTTGCTTCCTTTATTACTAGAGATAACTTACAATGTTTGTTTCGTTTTTGCTCTATAAAACAGATACCCTAAAAAGTAAGGTGTAATTTTCTTCTTTGATACATTTGTGTGCTGTCCTCTTAATTTTTAAAAAACGTTTAAATTCTATTACTAAGTAATAATAAAGGAATTACTTATACATTTTAACTTTATGTATGGGTAGGTCTTTGGACTTAGATATTTAGGCTTCTTCAATAACCGTGGAATCCCGCCACATATCTCCCAGTAAACATTACGGATGGCAAGCCAGTGGGTTGGTGAATTGAATAAGCTATGGAAGGAGGTCAAGGACCTTGTTGTACTGGAAGACCTAGTTTTAAATTTCAGCTCAGGATTTACTAGTAACTGGCAAATGACTGTTCTTTTGTGTGTTTTTTTGTTTGTTTGTTTGTTTTTGATATTCAGTTTCTTGGTTTATAAATTGGGGTAATACAGTCTACCCTAGCCATCTTCATGGAATACCATTTAATTAAAATACTTTTTTTTTTTTTGGTTTACATATACAAGTACTTTATAAGTGGTAGTGTACTATAACATAGGGATTACTGGCGCTATGATCCAGAGGAGATATATTTGGAACCAATGATGTGACTTTAGAGGAGAGGTGGAGATAAGATGAGGGGTGAAGGGCCTAGTTGATGAAAATGTATGCTAATAAAATAGAATGGAATCAGTTACCATAAGGGCCTAAGGAAAGAATTGTTCTAATTTTTGCCTTACAATTTTTACATCTTATTCTATAACATAGGTCTGTAAAAAGTATTAGGAGAATCATATGTAATCCAGGAAAAACATTTTATTTTCTTCATTTTTATATTGAGCACATGGAGTGATCAATCTTCAAATATATTTTAGTTTTTATAACAGATTTATAACAATGAATATGGAAAAGAAAGAAAAACTAGACTCCTAAGCATTATGCTAGATGCTTTCAGGTCTGTTACCTCTCTTGATTCTCACAACTACTTTGTAAAACAGGGAATATTGTTAATTTTTTAAAAAATTTCAAATTATAGTTAACACTAGTAGCCTGGTGCACAAAATTCGTGCACATTAAAAGGGAATTAATTGCCCTAACCGGTTTGGCTCAGTGGATAGAGCATCGGCCTGCGGACTTAAGGGTCCCAGGTTCGATTCCGATCAAGGGCATGCACCTTAGTTGCGGGCACATCCCCAGTGGGGAGTGTGCAGGAGGCAGCTGATTGATGTTTCTATCTTTCCCTTTCCCTTCCTTTCTCTCTAAAATAAATAAAAACAACAAAAAGAATCTCTTTTAAAAATGAACTTTAAGTTTATTGATTTTGTGTAAAGAGTAAGATTTATATAACTTATTACAAATTATAAAAATAGCATATCTGGACTTTTCTGTTGCACTAATTAGAAATTTACCGTGATGAGATTTGGCATTATTTATTTCATTGAATATAATTACAACTAGAAAGTTGAAATCCATATGATGTCTTAATATGTTCTAAATACTATTAGTATATTAGTTCATTGTCAGTGTCTTTTGTTCCTTAGATGAATTTCTGAAGTTTTACGTAAATGGAATTAAAAGGCTAGTCTATATGTCCAAAATGAATTGCTACTTGAATTCAATGTTGAATATTTTTGAAAAAGCAAATAAAGAATGTGCTTGTTCTCTAGATGTATTTGAAAGCTTCTATGATTTTAAGTGTATGTGGGGTGTACTTCTTGATGTATTTGAAGTTTAAAAGCCCTCGAGAATTGTAACAGAACTGTTCTTTTATTTTTATTAGGTGTTAGACAAACCCAGTAAGCTAACTCAAAAGGAACTTGCTGAGGCTGCAAGCAAGTGGGCTGCTGAGAAGCTAGAGAAGGCAGATGAAAGTAACTTACCTGAAATTTCTGAGTATGAGGTAAGGCATCATTTCTCCTTTATGTTTCCCATCTGAGAGTTTTAGTCTAGATTTTAAATTATGGGCAGAAAATATTTGATTCTAGTATTTTAAAATATATTTGGGGAAACTATTCTTATGTATTATTAAAATTTATCACATACGGTAATAGTATGAATATGAATGACTGAATTCAACAACTATACTGTCAACATCTCCAATAGTTTAGAAGTGTAAGAATAATATAAATATGGAATAAAATGAAAATGTACTATCTATACTTCGCTGTTAAAAGTATCTCTAGAAATCATGCTAAGCCACTAGTGATAAAACAGTGAATTCAGAACAGAAATCTAATTAGACCTTGGGTCTTGGGCTATATTTATATTGTATATCAGTGATGGCGAACCTATGACACGCGTGTCAGGTGACACACGAACTCATTTTTTTGGTTGATTTTTCTTTGTTAAATGGCATTTAAATATATAAAATAAATATCAAAAATATAAATCTTTGTTTTACTATGGTTGCAAATATAAAAAAATTTCTATATGTGACACGGCACCAGAGTTAAGTTAGGGTTTTTCAAAATGCTGACACGCCGAGCTTAAAAGGCTCGCCATCACTGTTGTATATTCTAGTTTATGCAAATTAACTTCATAAATATCCCAAGAAATGAAATTATGCATTGTTTGCACTACCTATGACCTTTGATGACTCTTGAGTACCAAAAGGTGAGAGCATTTTTGGATCCTTAGAATATTGTTTTGAAATGTTTGTGTTATATTTGAAAATGAACTGAAAAATTTCTCTATAGCTTATAACATCTCTAATAGGGAAATATAGATGTTTTATGGGCAAAATTAAGCATTTTAGATTCAAGATTTGGTGCTTGAGGAATTATTTTAGTAGGCAGAAAATATACAAATTTTTGTACTATGACAAATTATGTTTCTTTGGAGGAGATTTATGGCTTTTCAGTATGTTTTGGATGCCTTTCACGGAATGTTCTTTGATAAAAAGGATCAAGCATTGGAATTCTATATTCTATATACCTACATACATCTTCATAAACTATGAAAAGATCCTTTCCAAAATAACTAATATACACTGCTCCAAAAAGTACAAACCTGTACAGACCCTACCTGTCCTTATGCAAATGGAGACTTTCTTTTATCTGCCATTTAGATAACAAATATTCTTAACTAGGTAAAGGTTTTCTCTTTATTGTAGCTGTAAAATAGATTTTATTTTCTCTCTGTAAAATAGATATTTATACATATTCTTGAATACATTTTTCAAAAACATCAAGCTGTCTGTCCATCTTTGGTACCTTTCCAATACTATTTAAATGCACGAACAATACAGTGATACATTTAATCGGTTAATTTTGCTTATTTCCTTTGCTAATTTAGAATAATGATTTTTATATTAGTAACATATAAATACTTCAAAATTGCTATTTTAGAGAACTGATAATTTTTTTCAGGGTAAAGTAAAAAACCTCCAAACACACTACATTGTTGTTTGTTAAATACTTTATTTTCAATTAGCAAGGCTTTATTAAGATATATTTATTCTACCTTACCCATCCCCATCATTTTTTAATCTCTTAAATTAGAAAAAGAATTTCATGCCTGGTCGGCATGGCTCAGTGTTTAAGCATCGACCTATGAGTCAGGAGGTCACGGTTTGATTCCCAGTTGGGGGCTTGACTCCAGTGGGGGATGTGCAGCAGGCGGCCTGTTGATCGATGATTCTCTCATCATTGATATTTTATTTCTCTCTCCCTCTTCCTTCCTCTCTGAAATCAATAAAAATATATTTAAAAAAAAGAATCTGATGATCTACCTTTCTCAGACTTTAAATATGCTACTTATTTTTATTATTGCTTGACTGGATCTTGATTCTGAGTAGGCAGTTACATTGGGTCTGGAAAGAAATTTTTAAAACCTTATTTTTTCTCTAAAATATGCCCATAATTTTCTAGATTTTGAATTATTGAGAAGTAAACAACCATAAAAATCTATAAGGAATGTCATAGATCAGGCATGATCTTCTGTTGAACCAAAGGCAAAGTGTGAGGGTAGAATTGAGATTACTGTAGCGTGTTTGTTGTATATCATTAATATTGACAAGCAGCATCAAGTTCGTAGCATTGTCTAAAATGTTTTTCAAGTTAGATTGATACTTTTTCATATTGGAAATAAAGCAGGTAGGAAATTTTTATTTCATACTCTATTTTTTATTTAAGTATTTTATACTCGATTTTTTGTTTAAAAGTTTAATCCCACCATATCTTATTAACATTTTGCTCAGATAGTTAACATTTGTTCTTGGGTAGTTGTTATAGGATTACTCATTTCAGTGATCCATACTCTTTGAAATACAGAGTATTTGAGAATTTTGACCTCAGATCTGTAAACTAGTATCAGGTTTGAAAGAAAAAGCTGGGAAAGAAAAAGGACTTTGATGCCTGGAAAGAGTTTGATATAGTACTCTGTGTGTGTGTGTGTGTGTGTGTGTGCGCGCGCATGTGCATGCACACTTAAATTTAGCCGTGACAATATATTATTTAAATAATGGTCTGTGTACTATGTAGGTTCATTTTCATGAGTAGAGAGACATTAAATATTTAGGTTTCCAGTCTGTCTTCTCTTGCTGCCACCAACATAGTTTTAAGCAATTTGGTAGGGAGACCTTATAGATGAACTCCAGTGAAATGGATGATACTTTTAGTGATAAATATTCAGGAATGTTGCAGTTCATTCCTCTGTTTCGTTTTATAAGTTTACCATTTGGCCACTAATAGAGAATTTCTCAAAGCATTTGATAAAACAATAATTCTGAAGGGACCTAATAGTCTGAAGAAGAAAAATAAAAAGATTCTACTAGCCAGTATGTTTGGGAAATGCTTGATTTAAAAGAGTCAGGTTGATTTTGATAATTCAGCAATTTTCAGAGATTTTAATATGTTAACATGCGCATCCATGGGCTGTGAAAGGAGGATGAATAATGAAGTTTGCATAATTTATTAAATTAAGTAATTATGAAATGTTTTTCATAGTGCCTATTTTAAGGATTAGTATTTTAAGGCACTTGTTTTCAGAACATAATACTGTACTGGTTTTCTCATAGTTTATTTAAATTCACTGCATATTAATTCTTCATCTACTTGTGTCAAACACTGCATTAAAGACACCATCCTAGCTGCCAAGGAGTTTATAGTCAAATTATATAGAGATATAATTTATTGTCCTAACACAAACAGCCAGGAGAGTTTTACTTTTGGCTCTCAGAATGAAAAGCAAATTAGGTAAAGGCTAGAATGTCCCAGTAGAACAGGTTGTTGTTGTTTTTTTGCTGTAGAAGAAAATTTAAACATTTTTATGTAGATGCAAAAATGTGATTTATGTTTTTCCACATATAAGATGTCATTTTCTACTTCAATATCTTTGCTATTGTCCCCAGTGAAGAATGCCCATCTTTGTGGTCCTCATTTCAGATTCATTCAGTGAAATCAATAGTGTTTGAGAAAACAAGATCCAAGATCTTTCTTGATTCCACTTTCCTCTCCTTCCTATTACAAAATTTTATGTATTTGTATTTCACTGATGACCTTATATTGCCTTTGTTAAAACAATTTTTTCCTTGTCTAGTTCTTATCTCAAACACCTTGTTTTCCCTATAAAACCTTGGATGGTATATATCTAATTAGGAGTTTATACCTTTTGACCACCTTCATCCAGTTCTCCCTCAGCACTCCTCTCCCTCCCCGTACCCCTCCCCCCCTCCTCCAGCCCTCATCTCTGGTCACCACAAATCTAGTCTTTTTTTCTATGAATTTTTTTCTTTTTGAAGATTCCATATGAAAGTGTGATCATAACAGTATTTGCCTTTCTCTGTCTAACTTTGCCTGGTAAAAGGGACATGTGCTAAATTTGGATAAATGCTGCCAAGTCATTCTCTAAGTAAGTGGCAGAATACAAAACACTAGGTGTTAGAATGCCACTGCTTTTACTGGTGAAAAACTACCAGTAATTAGTATATGTCTTTTGTTGTTGTTGTTAATCATCACCCGAGGATATCTTTCCATTGATTTTTAGAGAGAGAGAAAGACAGAGGGAAACATCAATGTGAGAGAAACACATCGATTGGTTGCCTCCTGCAGGAGCCCCGAACAGGGCCGGGGCTGGGGAGGAGCCTGCAACCAAGATATGTGCCCTTGCTGGAATTGAACCTGGGACCCTTCAATCCTCAGGCCGATCCTCTATCCACTGAGCCAAATTGGCTAGGGGGAATATGTCTTATGACTTCTCTGAACCTACTGCTGTTTGCCATAACTTCAATCATAAAAATCCTAACTTTTAAAATATTTCCTCCCTTACCTTCCACCCACCTAAAATATGCAACAGTAAAATACATGAGCTCAGTTTACTCTAAGTAATTGCTTACTGCGTGCTACATGAAGGCAAGAGCTTTTGTCTTTTTTGTTCATTATTATATCTGTTGTTTCTAGAGAAGTGCTTGGCATTTGTTATATAGTAAAGTTTTGTAAAAACTAATGAGTGTAGTTAAAATAAAAGTCTTTCCTCATTCATTTTTTTTCCCTAGTGTTTTTAGAAAGTACAAATAATTGGCTGTAGTCTTTTTGTGGGATAATTTTTTTAAAATATATTTTATTGATTTTTTACAGAGAGAAAGGGAGAGGGATAGAGAGTTAGAAACATCGATGAGAGAGAAACATCGATCAGCTGCCTCCTGCACACCTCCTACTGGGGATGTGCCCGCAACCAAGGTACATGCCCTTGACCGGAATTGAACCTGGGACCCTTCAGTCCGCAGGCCGACGCTCTATCTACTGAGCCAAACCGGTTAAGGCATTTTTGTGGGATAATTTATTCATTAATGAATTGTTCTAAAATAGAAGTTATTGCTTTTGGGGATTGTTTTCTTTTTATTTCAATAAATTTTTAGGCTATACTATAGGAGCAAGGTAGTTTTAACTTCTGAAAATAGAGCTCTTTTTCATGTTCTTTTTAAAAAAAATATGTTTTTATTGATTTTTAGAGATTGAGGAAGAGAGAGGGAGAAATAGAAACATTGATGAGAGAGAAACATCACATAAATTGGCTGCCTCCTGCATGACCCCTGCTGGGGATCGAGCCAGCAACTGAGTCATGTGCCCTGACTGGGAATCAAACCAGCGACCTCTTGGGGGCATGGTTTGACATTCAACCACTGCACCACACTGGCCAGGCCCAAGTTTATGTTTATGTTTACACACACCCCTCACTTCCAATTAGAATTTTTCTCTTCAGTATTTCTTAAATAGATTGCTTAAGGAATAGTTATAGGACAGAACCTTCTAGCTGTGTCTTAAAATCACATGAAATATAATTTTGGAATTAAATAAGTCTAGAGGCTTTGTCATACTTAAAATTTTCCCCTCTAATTCTCCTGCTTATTATGCATAATGAAATTGAAAGTGCTTTCTTAAAACAGGTTAAATTTAGCACATTCTCTTAATATAATCTGTAAGTTAGTGCCTATACAAGTTATCTGAAATGCTATATGTCCTTTAACAAAGCAATTAAAGATTTTTAATTTCTCTTAAAGGCAGGATCCACAGCACCATTGTTCATTGACCAGTCAGAAGAACCTGAGTCAAATGCAGCAGATGGCATAGAATTATTTGAAGATAGTCAGCTAAACAGCCGCTCCAAAGCAATAGCATCAAAAACCAAAGAGATTGAACAGGTGAGAATCCAGTCATTTTAAGGTTCATAATCTTTTGTTCATGTCACTTTACACATGGTATTTACAGTAAATAGTTATTGAATAAATAGATTTTATTTTGTCCTTTCCCACTTGTGACTCTGAAATAATTTTAAAAATTATAAAAATTGTTTGATTTGATTTCACAATAATTTTGGTCAGTTTGTTCCCTGGCCCCCGTTTACTTTTCTTTTTTTTTTTTTTTAAAGAAAAAGCAAGCTTCCTTTTTAGAGAATATTAATATTCTAGTTAGTAGGAGAAATTTAAAAACGAATAAAAGTAATAGGAATGGGCTAAAAGAAATATACCAAATGTTAGTAAATTTTTTTTGAATATTGGGATTAGAGATATTTCTTATGTTTTTCATTATACTTTTAAGCAGTTTTTCAAATATTAAAGAAAAATGAATGATAGCGCTTTAAATCTAATTTTAATGATGTCATTCCTGAAAGTTAGGATCTTGTTTTTGATAGATTAAATAGTTTGCTTAAGGCATAGTTATAGGACAAAAACTCTGGTGTGAAATATAATTTTGGAATGGAAAATGCCTAGAGGCTTTGCTTTACCAAAGATTAAAAAAAGTAGCAATCATTGTCTTTTTAATCCTCCTCACTATGCTCATAATATGCATAGCAAAATTTAAAATGTTTCATTTTGGAAATATTGCCTGCCTCATAGGGTATTATCACTTTGTGAGGATTAAATGAATAAACTGTTAAAGGGCTTTATAAAATGTAACATATTGTACAAGGTGTTTTTAAAAAATATATGTTTTTATTGATTTTAGAGAGAGGAAGTGGGAGAGAGAGCGAGGGAGAGAGAAAGAGAGGTTAGAGAAAAATATGATTGGTTGCCTCCTGTACATGCCCTGACTGGAGACCAAAACCCAAACCTGGGTAAGTGCCCTGACTGTGAATTGAACTGGTGACCTTTTGGTGCGCAGGACGATGCTTAACCAACTGAGCCACATAGGCCGGGGCACAAGAGTTTGTTTTTGCTGTTTCTCTTCAATGCCTTGAGTCAATGTCATTATATTGTTACTAGAGGCCCAGTGCACGAATTTGTGCACTGGTGGGGTCCCTTGGCCTGGCCTGCAGGGATCGGGCTGAAACCAGCTCTCTGACATCCCCTGAGAGGTCCCGGATTGTGAGATGGAGCAGGCCAGGCCGAGGGACCCCACTGGTGCACAAATCCGTGCACTGAGTCCCTAGCATGCATATAAGATCTTTAGTTAATCTCTTCCCGCCCTCCCCCCTTCCCCCTTTCCTCTGAGATTCATCAGTCTGTTCCATGTTTCCATGTCTGTGGTTTCCACTCTTGCGTTGAGCATCTGCCCCCTGGTGGTCAGTGCGCGTTATAGCTACCGGTTGGTTGGTCAAACAGTCGGCCAGTCACTTAGGCTTTTATGTGTGTGTGTGTGTGTGTGTGTGTATATCTATATCTATATCTATCTATATATCTATATATATATATGTATATATAATATACATAATTTTGCAAAAGCTAGAAATGGAAAAAATTATATATGAAAATGGAAAAAATGGTAAAAAATTTATATTATACGTATCCTATCTAATAAAAGAGAAACATGGTAATTAGCCGTACATCCCCTACCCTTCCCATTGGCTAATCAGAGCGATATGCACATTAACTGCCAGCCAAGATGGCGGCCGGCAGCCATGCACTGAAGCGAACAGGGAGGCTTGCTTGCTCCAGTGACTGCGGACTCCAACGTTTCCCGCCTGACTTGCCGGCCTCTCAGCTGCAACTCTAAGCAACTATGTTGCAAATATAGAAGCTAAACAAAACCCCAGAAACCTGCTTTAGTCAGCCGGGCTTCAGCCAGCCGGACCGCAACATTGTATCAAATACAGAAGGTAAACAAAGGCCAGAAACCTGCTTTCAGCAGCCCAGGCCTCAGAGCTAAAGCTGGCCCAGAATGAAAAAAAAGAAAACGAAAAAAGGGAGCGGTTGGGAGCTTCAGTCACCCGCCATCCTGAAAACGGCCCTCAGCCCCTCAGCCAGACTGGCCGGGCACCCCAGTGGGGACCCCCACCCTGATCCAGGACACCCTTCAGGGCAAGCCAGCCGGCCCCCACCTGTGCACCAGGCCTCTATCCTATATAGTAAAAGGGTACTATGCCTCCCAGCACTGGGATCAGTGGAGCCGCGAGGCTCCTGGCACCGGGATCAGCGTGACAGGGGGCAGCGCCCAAACCCCCTGATCACCCTGCGGCTCTGTGTGTGACAGGGGGCGGGGCCACAACCCCTTGATCAGCCCTGCTCTGTGCCTGATAGGGGGGGAGCTCCCCAACCCCCTGATCGCCCTGCGGCTCTGTGTGTGACGGGGCGGGGACACAACCTCCCTATCTGCCCTGTTCTGTTCGTGACAGGGGGAGGTGCCCCAACCCCTGATCAGCCCTGCTCTGTGCCTGATAGGGGGGAGCTCCCCAACCCCCTGATCGCCCTGTGGCTCTGTGTGTGACAGAGTGCAGCACCCTAACCCCTTGATCGGCCCTGCCCTGAGTGTGACAGTGGCGGCGCCCCAACTCCTCCCCCACACCCCCACAGGCCCTGCTCTGTGTGTGACGGGGTAGAGCCATAACCTCCCCAACGGCCCTGCCCTGAGTGTGACAGTGGCGGTGCCCCAACCCCCTGATCGGCCCTGCTCTGTGGGTGATAGAGGGCGGTGCCCCAACCCCCCTCCACGGGCCTTGCTCTGTGTGTGACGGGGCGGTGCCCCAACTCCCCTATTGGCCCTACTCTGTGATTGACAGGGGGAAGCTCCTCAACCCCCTGATGGGCCCTGCTCTGTGCATGACAGGGGGGAGCTCCCCAACCCCCTGATGGGCCCTGCTCTGTGCGTGACAGGGGGGAGCTCCTCAACCCCCTGATCGGCCCTGCTCTGTGCATGACAGGGGGTGGTGCCGCAACTTCCCTATCGACCCTGCCTTGAGTGTGACAGGGGACGGTGCCCCAACCCCCCAATCGGCTGTACCCTGAGTGTGACTAGGGGTGGCATCGCAACCTCCCGATCCGCCCTGCTCTGTGCATGACAGGGGGCGGTGCCCCAACTCCCCAATCGGCCCTGCTCTGAGCCCCACCAGGGGCTGCACCTAGGGATTGGGCGTGCCCTCTGCCACCTGGGAGCAGGCCTAAGCCAGCAGGTCATTATCTCCTGAGGGGTCCCAGACTCCGAGAGGGCACAGGATGGGCTGAGGGACCCCCCCCCCCCAGTGCACAAATTTTTGTGCACCGGGCCTCTAGTCCTATCTAATAAAAGAGTAATATGCAAATTAACTGTCACTTCACGATAAAGATGGCGGCGCCCACAGCCAATAAGGAGGGAATATGCAAATTGATGCGACAAGGAGAGAGGTGGAAGGCGGCTCTGGCCAAATCGAAGGCAGAGAGGCGGCTCTGGGCTGGAGCGAAGGCGGTGCTGGCAGCTTGGGGAAGGAAGGCCTATTCTTGCACAAATCTTTGTGCATTGGGTCTCTAGTAATGATAATAAGAATAAAAATAATAAATATAACTCACATCTGTGGGGCACTTTCTCTGTTCCAGGCTCTGGATTAAGCACTAATCATATGTTGTCTTATTTGTGCACCGGGCCGCTAGTAAAAACATATTTTAAAAAAATAAAAGGCTAACTCACAGGATTTATCTTCAATATGAATATGAATATCATTACCCTATATAAAATTACTGCCCTCTGCCTTTTTACGCTGATTTATTTTTCTTTGTAGCTTTTTTTGCCACTTGACATATGTTTTTATTTGTTTGCTTGTCTCCCCGCACCATAATGGAAACTTCATGAGAACAAGAAACTTTTGTTTACTGCTTTATGTCTATTACGTAGAACAGTCATTAGCATGTAGTGGGCTCTTAAGAAATATTTCTTTTATGGATGATGGATGGAGTCATAAACCTAGAAGTGACCTTTGAAATACTTTCTGAGTCACTTGAAATCAGACACTGCATCTTAACTTGACCACCTAACAGAGTGCCTAGGCCAAGAACTTGGTATAAGTGCTTGATAATGTTTGTTGAATGAATGATTTAATATTATTTATTTCCACCCGATTTGCAGTTCTTTAAAGGAGAGATTCTCTTAAGAATATAACTGGTTGCAAAACTTGACTTAAATAACAGGAGGAGATTATTATTTTAGGTTGTGGCTTATTAATATCTGTACTATCGCATCTTGTTATTATTCATAGTTGATCTGTTTGATCTTGAAAAGGTGGGTTACTAGTCAGATGTAGAGGCTAGCTTAGCAGTACACACAAAATTATTTTATATGAAACCAGTTTTTATAGTACTTTTTAGATACTTGTATGTGTTTGACCTAGAGGGATGACTGTATCTCTGTTTTTAGCTGCCTATTGTTCAAACACATGAAAAATCTGATACTAAAGTATATTGTGATTATTACAGCAAAGACAGATGACCTAAAGAAGGAAAAATAAGTCTAAAAGGACATTGCCATATTCTAATGTTAATAGAGAAGTAAAACAGTTATTAGAAGTATTATAAAATAGCAAACTTAATGATGTTACATATTGGAATACTATACTATGTTTTTGCTAGGGTGCTTTTTTTTTTTTTAATATATTGGCAAGAAAAACCAGAAGTCCCCCAAATGTTAGATAACTATCAAATAATGATATAATTATTTTATAAATTTGTGTCTAAAATTAAGTGACTTTTGAAAATTAAAAAAGTAGTTTTAAGGGGGATTATTCTCAATTTTTTCCATTTCTAGCTTTTGCATATTTTATTTTTAGGTATTACATACCCAATGGATAGAATATTATAAAGGCTTGAGAAAGCTAGATGGTAGTTACACAGCTGTCCAGAAGTTATTATTTACATTTTTTCATATACTTAAGATATTTTGAAAAACAGTACAATAGCCCCAAACACTCAAGGTTAGAAAAGTTTAAAAATATAAATATTGGTGTAATACTCAGCTGCTT